GGATGTTTGGCTTCACCCGCACCCTGCCTGAAATGATGCGGTTGGGCAGGTCATCGTTGACGGTCGGGTGCTGGTGGAGGACCCTGGAAGGTACAAGAAGCCATTAGGACACTGGAAGGGAATGTTTTTGTTCCAGCTGCTGCTCTCTGCTCTGGGAATGCTCATCCTGAGATGCTCAGCAGCTGCCTCTGCACTGGTGTCTCCAAGAGTCTTTGCAAGGGGCAGTGGTGGATTCCTCAAGCGTTGCCTGGGCACAACCAAACTATTAACCCAGCCCAAACACAGGGAGCATGGTTTGGCCGAGCAGAACTGGACACAGGGGGAGGCAGAGAGTCCCTTCTGGGCAGGAGGAGTGTTTGCTGATACCTGTGCTTGGGCTTCAGGCCGTAGCGCGAGTGGTCGAACCTGGCATTCAGCTTCTTCTCCATGTAGTCACATGCCATGGATGAGCTGACCAGCTCCTGCAGGAATGTCWTCATGCGGGTGGTCAAGATGGTGTCGATAGGGTAGCCCTGATCTCCGACGCGGTTGAGAACCCATGCACCTCGGCGGGTGCTGAGGAAGACCTAGACAAGGAAGAAGGATCAATTCCTGAAGGCAGTGATGGTCCTGGGAGGGCTGCCCTGGGCGGGACATGTCCTTGCCCTGGGATCACTCTGCTTTGTGCTGCCCAAGCATTGGGAAAAGATCCAGAGGGCAGAGGGAGCTGGTGATTGGGATCTTGCAGGGAAGTGGGACCAAGTCTCAACTGCTTGGCAGCTGGGATTGGCAGGTGCCAGCATTGCCAAACACAGTGAGTGCTGGGACGGAGCAGCAGCTGTGCCAGTGCCTTGCTCCTGGTGTCCTTGTGGAGCTGACAGTATCCCACAGGGGCTTGCCTGCCTGCCAGGACCCCAATCCTCCTGCTCACCTGCTGGGCTGTTTGGCTGATCTCCACAGCCAGGTCTGACCCCGAATTCCCGATCCCGATGACAACAACCCTCTTGTCTGTGAAAGCCTGAGCRTCCTTGTAATCTCGGCTATGGAGGTAGCGGCCCTTGAACTTCTCAATTCCTGTGAGCAGGGAGGAGAGATGCTTGCCTTCCTGGTGCCAGGTTGGAGGATCACCCCTCTACAGCCTGGAGATGCTCCCTTGCCCCACCAAACCAGTCCTGGGGAGCATAGGAGTGCTCCTGGAGTCAAAGCAAGGTAGGGAAATGCTGGGGCCAGGAGGGAAGGCAGCAGGGAGAACAGGGACTGGCATGGACCAGGTTTCAGGGGTGTCTCTTCATGCCACTGTGCAGGGCAGTACCTGGGAAGGAACTGAGCGGGAGATGTGCGTCGGTGTGGTGCCCGCTGCACACCAGCACRGCGTCGAAGACGGCCATCTCCTGCTTGCCCTCGCTCTCCGTCACCACCTCCCACTGCCCGCTGCTGGCAAAGTCGGGGCGCTTGGACACACGGCACACGCTGGTCTGGGCACAGGGAGAGCGGTGTCAGGCACCCTGTGCCCCCTGTGCCCGCTGCTACCACCCCCTCGGCCCCCAGCTCTCACCCTGAAGCGGATGTGGCGCAGCAGGTCGAAGTGCTGGGCGTACATGCGGAAATACTCCATGATCTTGGAGTTGTGCATGTAGTTGGGGAAGTCCTCAGGGATGGGGTAGTCACTGAAGCACATCATCTCCTTGGAGGTGTTGATGATGACGGAGCGGTAGATGCTGGCACGGCCTTCCTCAGGGTTCTCCTGTGGGAGCGGGGCACAGATCAGTGCTGGTCAGGGGTGTGATGGGGAAGGATGGCTGGGGCTGATGAGGTATTCCTTTACATGGAGCCCCTGCCCTCAGTGTCACCAAAAGGATCCCACCATGGCCACCCCACCAGCCAYCACTGACCCCTGAGGGCCACCTTGCTGACCCCCAGCACAACGTGTTGCTGGCACGGATTACCTCAAACCTCCAGAGGCCTCCGATGTCTCCGGTCCTCTCGAAGCAGACGGGCTCCAGCCCCTCCTGCAGGCAGGCTTTGATGGCGCACAGCCCGCTGCTGCCCCCGCCGATGATGGCCACCTTCTTTGCCATGCTGTACTGCACCACCGGGCCTCTGCCTGCGAAAACCGTCGGACAGCGGGGCTGAATGGCCAGGGGTGCAACTGTGCAAAACTTTGCCTCTGGTGCACCAGAGGCCCCAAGCTGAGAAGCAGTCCCTCAAAAGTTTGTCTGGGGTTGTGAAGCAACTGCTGTCCCCTTCTAGGTGGGGATCTGGCCCGTGCTGGGTTTTACACTATTGTGGTGTTGCCTCTGGATGCCTGAGGAGAAATCCCGCCGAGTGTCAGGGAGCCTCAAAATCTCCCCGCCCATGCCAATTCCCAGGCGATGGAGGTGCCCTGGAGTGCTGTGCCCTGGAGTGGCTCCCTCCCAGGTGGGTGACAGCCCTCTGCCCTCTCCCTTCCCAGGGGACATTCCTGTTGCGCTGTCCCGATACCTGCTGCGTGGTGGCAGCGCGGGGAACACCTTAACCGACCTGCGGCCGGGGGAGGAGCAGCCCAGGGAAGGCTGGCGGCAGGCACGGAGCCGGGCGAGGGACTCTGCCGGGGGACCCCGACCCGCGAGGCCGGACCGCGGCCTGGCTCCACGGTACGCAGCGTCCGGGAGCGGGGCCTCCYCCTCCGTCACTCCTCCCACGGGCCGGGAAAAGGAAGCCAGAGCTCGGCTGGCTCCCGGCCGCCGGCTTGGCTGTTCCGGCAGCGCTGTCGCCACGGTCTAAGGAGTCATCCCAGGCGCTGCGCGGGGACACAGACACGCAGCCGATCCTTGTGGCTGCGTGCTTGGTAAACAAACACTGCCCTGGACTTTTTACCCGGGGATTATCAGGATCAGCCCAACTCCGGTTTTGCTGGTACCCGGGGTGACACACGGCTCTGGCTGCTCCAGTGGCAGCCGGCATTTTATTGCCCACATCACCTGTGCTAGGCATGTCGGCACAACGTCCCCATAGCCACGGCACATTCCTGGGCTAGCARAGTCCTGGGACCAGCGGAATTTGGTGCGAGGAGCACCATGCTGTTGCGGTGTCACTGGTGCAAGGGTGGTGGCACCAGTAAGGAAGATTGTCCCTCACAGCAGGAGGCTGTACTAGGTGGATCCAAAACTTGCTGCTTGCTGCTGGCTCCTGGCGCACTCACAGCCAGACAGCCCCTGAGTACTGCAAGGGAAATTTGCTCTCCTGTGTCCAGGGAACTTTGCTGTAGAGTTGAGCAAGGCACAGGGCTGCTGAGGGGTCAATCTCTGCAGCTGAAATGGTTTTAACCTCTGAAACTCATACAATGTTTATATTAAGTTTAATAAAGCTTTCTGTCCCTCTATTGGCAAAGACTGATCTCTGCCTGGGGCAGAGGCACCGAGCTACCAACCCACACTCCATACCTGCCTGTCAAAAAACATCATAAATATCTTACCAGGCAAGAGATCAGCACAGGGACGGTGAGKTGGCAGCAATGGTAGTGCTACTCTTCCTGCTCCGCTGTCAGCTGGCTTCTGGCTCTTTTGCAAGCTCTGCAGACTGCCCAAGGGTGACAAGTACAGGGAGATTCTCTGAGCTCTCAACTGCTCTGCTGTGCTTTAAAACCTCTGTGCAGGTTGCCTCTGAATTTGCCCTTATCCCTGCAGGAGCTGCACTGCCCTGGACTTTACCCTGCTGTATCTGAACTTGTAGCCCAGACAAGCTGCTATCAGGCACCAGGGATTTTGGTCAAGGCCAGATGGTTGATAYCTGTGGAAAAATCAGTGCTCCATGCCTGGCAAGCACCCGAGATGTAGAGTGTGGGCAGCAGTGTCTGCTCTACAATGTCAGCTCTGGACTTCCACCGTGGGCAGAAATGCTGTGGGACATGTGGAGCAGAAAGCTCAGTGGGTTAGCACTCCATGCTTGAAGGAGACCAAAGGTGTCTGGTGCAACTGAAGAGAAGCAGACAAGAAGTGAGAGGGTGGCCAGGCAGCAGGGCTGTACAGTGGTGATGGTGGGTGCCACCAGGACCTCATGGAGTGTCCTGTAAATGAGTCAAGAGCAACTTTCGGCACACGCATGTATGTGGGAGCCACTGATGCACAGCTTTGCTGCTGTGCCCTCCATGATGTAGAGAGGAAGACCCCAACAACTCTGAAAACAGCCTTTTGAGTGCAGACAAAAAAACCCCACTGTTTTGGAAAAGATAGAGCAAAGGTGTTTTGGCAGAGCTCAACAAGGCCTGAGCACCCCAAACCCTTTCTCATGGAGTGTGCCACATGCCTGTGCTCCCACAGCCACCAGGGGGCTGGTCTGTGCCTTGGCACAGGAGGGCAGGCCGGACTGGCCCAGCCGSCTGCCAGGCATGCCGTGCAACACAGGGGATTATTTTTTGGTCACTGGAGCGCCCACCTGGATCTGGCAGCTTCACTGGCTCATCCTGTCAGTGGGTGAGGGCTCAGGTCCAGGGAAGCCTGTCACATCAAGCACTTTCATTCCAGCCCCTGTACAACTAACAGTCAATGACAGGGTGCTCATACCAGCAGCCATAAGGCTGCTCCTRCACACTCCACCTGCGTGCACAGCACATTTAAACACTTCCTGGTCTTAATACGACTTAATCGGTGMTTTGCAGGGCCTGAGTATACTAATAGACCTCAATGACCACAAAGAGCTTCACCTGGGCTCAATCCCTCCACCCACATGCCAGGAGTACTGTTTAAGCTCATTATCTGAGCTCAGTCCAGAGCCCTCACTCCCTGCCTTGCTGTGGTCCCTGATGATGTGGGTTCTATGATTTTCTGGCTCARTCTTGACCTCAGCTCATTACAGAAGCTCCTTGTGATCCCCTCYTGCCAAGGACCAGCATCCCTCTGTGAAAAACAGGCTACCAGTGGTGTCAGTGGAGGAGAGCCAGCCTGCCTGGAGCATGTGGGGCTGATGGTGGCCAGGGTCTCTTGCTGCAAGAGGTGCAAGCAAGGCTCAGATCTGGRGCTGGGTGTATTGCTGGGCTGTGGAAAGGGGCTGGCTCTGCAGGACACTCTGCAGCCTGGAATATGCTGATGATCAGGAATTGCTGTGAATGCATTGTAACCCCGAGAAACTGAAAATCCTGTGGAGAGAAAAAGGAACTGGGAAGCTCTGAACAAGAACTTAAGGAGCAGGCAGGTGCTGTGAGGTACTTCCCATGGAACCCACTGGATGATCAACCCTTCAGTCCCACTGTCCTTTCCCCATGGCACTGGGAGCCATGTGCCCRTGTCCTCCTCATCATTTTACATCTGCCCTTAGTGCAGCACTTAAATTGAGAGCAATACGGAAGAGATTACTTAGGAAGGCAAAGCTCTTTCTAACCCTGAGACCYSYGGGGGTCCCCTCCAGGCAGGTGTTKTAGAGCAGGCTGCACAGGGTATGCTTATGACAGCAGCATCATCAGTGTATTTATGGAATACAGATACAGGGATGATTGTAGGGAAGCCTCTGCAAGTCACGGCTACCATGTACACCATGGGCTATTGCAGGTGCCCAGCGAGAGCATGCAGATTCACAGTATTAGCAGTGGGCTGCCCAGTGTGTGTGGTGAGCCCTCCCCAGGCTCTGCAGAGACCGGTTTTTGTCACCAGAGAACAGTGCAGACCCTGCCTGACAGCCGACCAGGAGGGCAAAACAGCACCAAACATCTGAGTGCAGGCTCTGGAGCCTGCAGCACCGCTCGTGTAGAAGTCTTGGCTGGACTGATGTGGTTTAGGATGCGAGTTCAAGTCCCAGAATCCTCTCCCTGTGCGTGMTCAGAACACCAGCACATGGTCCCTGCTTTGTGAGGAAGCCAGYGGTCAGTCAGTGGCTCCAGAGCGCGAAGAGGGCAGGCATGGTGGCCGGGGACAGCCAGCAGTGCTCCACCACGCCGTACAGTGCATAACCCAGCAGCAGCCCGAAGAGCACGTCCGTCATGTTGTGCCTGCCCAGCATGACCCGGGAGATGCTGACGATGAGAGCCCAGAGCACCACGAGCACCCGCAGCGGGACGGCCAGGACCAGGTGGCGCAGGACGAAGCGGCAGACCAGAGCGGCCCTGGTGGCGTGGCCCGACGGGAAGGAGTACTTGTCCACCGAGATGGTGACAAACATGTCCATCTTGTTGTGGGTGGGCCGCGGCCGCTTGACAATTCCCTTCACCACCGCCACCATCACTATGTCCAGTAGCAATGCTAGGAGAGAGGGGGATGGGGTTACTGAGAGCAGAACCATCAGCTAAGGAAGCACTTGGCTGCCCGAAGCTGCCAGAAGGGTGTATCCCCCATGGCTGCAACACCCAGGGGGGGAGAGCACAGCTCTCAGCTGCTCTTGGCCTTCTGCAGCAGCATGAGCACATCTTCAACCTCTGTTCCTCAGCACACACCCCTCGTGTATCACCAAGACCCTTGGCCTGCCACAGCCAACAGAGCTCTGCCCAGTCTGCACCCCAGGGCTTCTCTCTCTGTGCAAAATCTGATTATGCCACGATTTGGGGCTCATTCTGAAGGCAGCAGAGGTATTAACGTTCCCCAACTCCCCTCCTGGCAGTGCTGACTCTGCATTGTTCTGCCTGTCCCAGTGACCAGGGTCAAAGCTGGGTAAATGATCGGCAACTACTGAGGCACAGGTCAGTGGGAGGGGCTCAGAGTTGGTGCGGTGCCAGGGCTCCTGGGGTCTGGCTTCTCCCTGCTACTGGGGGAAAAGTTAACCACGCTTTGGTTTTCAAGAGATTAATAAAGGATTATTTAAACAATGGTGGCTTGCCCTGAGAGCTAAAGGCCATTGTGATAGAAGAGGCAAAGTACCCRTGAGAAGTGTTCAGCCAGTATTTGGCAAGAGCAGCTTCTCATGTAGGGCAGAGGGTAYTTTCTCCATCCCTCTTAGCTCAGCTTAACACAGCACTCAAAGCCAGGGCTACTTCYACCAGGGAAGACGTGGAAGACACCAACTTCTGCTCATCCTAATATATGTTTCTGGACACCAAATCTTTAGCTTGCTTTAGTTCATTTTCTTTGGTTACTCATTTAAGAACTCTTTTTCCCACATGTAAACTTAGATCAACTGCTTTTTCTCTTCCTACGTAGGGTGTGGGAGATTCAAATTGAACAYGAGAGAACCCTTTCTCATGTGGGTGCCCAGGGCCCCAGAACACTGAGGGCTGGGACAGATCTCCTTGGAGAAGAARTTAAGCTGGAGGCCTCCAAGTCCCTCTAGGTCCCCAACAATTTTAACCACGTGCTGCTAGTTGAGAAAGATTACAAACCTTGTTTGCCACAAAGCAAATTTCAGTTCACATTATAAGAGTGAGATCCTAATTATTTGCAACTTAATGAAAGAGTAACAACTTTGAACTTAAAAAAGTTCTAGAGCTCTGGAGCTACTAGTCTCTAAAATAAAAAAAAACGAGTAGTTTCAGGATACCTAGACTACTCTGTGTGTGTGAAATAYGACACCATGCAAGGTTACAATTCATGCTTTAAATCAAATTTCCTCAGTGGCTAATACAGAGCAATCCAGCACAGCCCTGCCTGCTGGGAGCCAAGGATGAATGTCTGTGTGCCAGGACAGCTTTTCAGGGAATGGGCTGGCATCTCAACACGAGGCAGCTGCACCTCGAATGCGCTGTCCTGACAAGCTTGAAGAGCTAAAAGAGRCTTCAGCACCCTGAGAGCTTTGTGYAACTGCAGGAGCACTTTAGCTGTCGAGAGTTTCGCAGTGCGTGGTTGCAGCTGTGACAGATGAGTCTCACCCGGTGCCACCACGCCCTCAAGCTGCAGCGTCACTCCCTCTGCTACCACACACCCCCGATAAGCMTGCACAGGTTGCTCAAAATCAGCTGGTGCCCTCGGGGCGGTAGGGACCTGCGGTTTACCCCGTTCTTCGGGCCCTCCCCTCCCTARCCCCTGCCGGCAGAGCCCTGGGGCGAGCCCCCCGCCTCACCGAAGAGCAGGTTGAGCAGCACCTCCCTGGCTGCCGAGCTGTCACTCTGGCAAAGGCCGTAGAAGGTGCCAAGCASCCAGGGGATGCCATGCCCCGACACCTCGATGACCTTCATGAGGGGGCGGGCGCTGCCCCAGGCCGAGCCCTCTCCAGCGCACACGCCCAGGCGCTTGGAGGCCCAGAGGTCGATGGCGAGCAGGGAGCTGAGGGCGATGCCCACGAAGGACGGGTTCAGCTTCATGCAGTCCTCCTCGGGCAGCGGGGCGGCTGCGGCGCCGCCGGACTCCTTGCGGCGGGAGGGGCTGTCGGGAGCGGCGGGGCCGCGCTGGCTCAGGGACAGGAACTCCAGGCGGCCGCCGCTGCCGCCGGCGCGTCGCTCGCGGCTGCTCCGGGGGCTCGGCATGACGACAGGAGGCGGCCTGCGAGAGGCGGGCGCCGGTTACCCGCTGCCGGGCCCGACCGGGATCCAGCACATCWCCCTGCCCGGGGCCGCTTCCCTCTCCCCCTCCCCGCGTCCTGCCCGGCACCCCCGCCCCGCGCTACCGCACCGCCGGGGCGCGGTCCCCTCCATGCCGGCGTGTCCCCAAGGACGCGGCGGGTGCGGCGCGCTTCCCCCGGTACCGGGCGGCCCCCGCGCCGCTTCCGCTTCCCGTTCCGTTTCCGCCCGTGACGCACGTGCTCGCCGCGGAGCCCCGGCCGCGCCCCGCCCACCGGCGCGCACGTGCCCGCCCCGGCCGGCGTACGGCGGCCGGCGAGGGCCGCAAGAGGCTCGGCGGCGGCGGCGCCTTCGCCCTGCCGGCGCCGGTGCGGGCGCCGTGCGGCGGGCGGCGATGCGCGGCGGGCGGGCGGCGGCGGGACCGGCCGCCCCCCCGGGCCCGCGGTGACGGCGGCTCGGCCGCGGCCATGGGGTGCCTGCAGAGCGTGGCCTGCAAGGCGCGGGTGCGCCGGGAGCAGATCGTGGTGTCGGACGTGTCGGCCACCATCGAGCCGGCGGCCACGGCCATCGAGGAGAGCTCGCCGGTGGTGCTGCGGTACCGCACGCCCTACTTCCGCGCCTCCGCCCGCGTCCTCATGCCGCCCATCGCCCGGCGGCACACCTGGGTGGTGGGCTGGATCCAGGCCTGCAACCACATGGAGTTCTACAACACCTACAGCGACCTCGGCGTGTGAGCATCGCGGGCGGGCTCGGCGGGGATGGGGGCRCGGGGGCCTGGGCGGGCCTCGGGCTGCGAGCGGCGTGGGCACCCCTGAGGGCAGCTGCTCTGCTCGCCCGCGGGCACCGGCTGCTGCACCGGTGCTTCCCCTTTACCCCACCTCTGCCACAGCCACAGCCACGCAGCTTCACCCCAGCRCCCGCTCCCGCCCCCGCAATTCCTGCTCCTCCGTCCCACAGAGGCTCCTGCCCCATCCCGGTGCTCCGGAGCTCGCCCGTTCCGGGGCTTTGCGGCCGCTGTGTCCCACCAAGCGCTGGTTCTTCTCTGGGACTGGGACGTGGGCGGGAGTTGCCCGCTTGGCTTGTGTGCTTGGCAGAAGGGGCTGCTGGAAATCGGCTTTTCCCAATGCCTGAGTGTCCGGGTGACTTGTGCGGACGCCGAGGGGCAAAGCTGGCTCTCTTGGTGTGTGTTGTGCTTTTGGTAAGGGGTGATGTAAGAGGGGAAGCGTCCAGAGGGGTGTGTTCTGCAGCTTGCTGGTGGGCTCCTGCTGCTGGTGCCACAGGTGTGTGCTCACTGGGGGAGCAGCAGGTCCTTGTGCTGCCTGTCTGCATCCTTGTGTCGTGACAGATTGGTGTGCGTGTGGCACTGGAACACTTGGGGATATTGGAGTTGAGTGGAGCTCATCAYTGGGGGGGATGGTAGAAGTGTGGCCCCAGCCCCTCTGCTCCAAAGCTCCTCCCTTGTCATTGCCACTCAGCCCTTGCTATAGACACACAGTGTTGATAACCTGGTCAGCAGCAAAGATTTGGGCTGGAATTTCCCCCTGCTCCCAGCCGTATTGCAGGGATTTCACTGTGCTGGAGCAGGCATAATTGTGGATTTTAATTGTTGTACATGTTTCTGTATTTAAGGMATAAAACTTGCAGATCTCTTGAGGAGAGGGCTGCTGATGGGCTGGCTTGATGCCATGCTCACAATGCTGCAGCTGGTGGATGGGGAAGGCTGTTCTCTAATGCAGGAGCTGATTAAGGAGAGAGTGACCCCAGAGAGACTCAGCAGTGGGGTTTGGCTCAGTCTGTTTGATTGCAGATTAATTTAAATGGCATTGTGTTGGGCAGAGCAAAGGCTTCAGCTKATGTGTGGGTCTCGGCAAAGGAACCGAAGCCGAGTTTGTTCTTTGGATTGGTCCTGGGAGTTTGCTGCAGGCAGGGAGAGTGTCCCCATCCCTCCCTGGGTGCTGTTGCTGCCATTTCCCTGCTGACCTTTCTCTTCCYTCTCACCAGGTCAAGCTGGGAGCTGCCCGACCTGCGAGAAGGAAGAGTAAAAGCCATCAGCGATTCGGATGGGGTGAGCTACCCCTGGTACGGAAACACCACAGAAACCGTGACCCTGGTCGGGCCCACTAACAAGATCTCCAGGTTCTCGGTGAGCATGAATGACAATTTCTACCCCAGCGTGACGTGGGCTGTCCCTGTGAGCAACAGCAACGTGCCGCTGCTGACCAGGATCAAAAGGGACCAGAGCTTTACCACGTGGCTCGTGGCCATGAACACAACCACCAAGGAGAAGATCATCTTGCAGACTATAAAGTGGAGGATGCGAGTGGACATTGAGGTGGACCCCATGCAGCTGCTGGGGCAGCGGGCACGGCTGGTGGGCAGGACTCAGCAGGAGCAGCCGCGGATCCTCAGCAGGATGGAGCCCATCCCACCAAACGCACTAGTGAAGCCCAACGCCAACGACGCCCAGGTCCTCATGTGGAGACCCAAGCGAGGGCAGCCCATAGTTGTGATACCTCCCAAGTAGGGCACGCACGTGAGGACCTGGGTGCCCCCAGCCCGCTGCCGACGAACAGGGTTTGCGAGCCAAAGCAGACCTCTCGGGTTCTCCTGCCTTTGTTGTTGTGGTTGGAAACATGGCTCCTCCTCAGTCAGAAATAGAGCCTGGCTGGCACAAGGGCACAGAAGAGGGTTTGCTGAGCTGGAGGATTTCCCAGGAAGCGAAATCGAGTACTTGCAGCTGGCACAGAGGCTGCCTGACCTAAAGGACTCGTCTTTCCTTGCCGGGCAGCGCCAGGAGCACCAGTGTGGTTGAACYGTGCCCGTGGCGAATGCTGCCTTCCACCCAGCCCGAGGGAGAAGCGGAGGCTGTGCCTGCTGGCAGCAGGGGGCTGCTGGGTGACCCTGCCCGCCGGGATGCCGTGTCCCTGCCGTGTCCATACCTATGCATTTCGGATCGATAATCCACCCCTCGCCTGCCCGCTGGCACCGGGCGGGAGGGCCGGGAGTGGCATGGGAACGGGCAGTGCTGGGGGCTGATCAGAGCCCGGCCCTGGCTGCTGCCACTGCCAGGGAGGGTTTTCTGCAGCCCAGGGGGAGTGGGACACGTTTTGCATGCGTCTGGGTGTGTTTGGAGTAGTTGTGAGTGTAGGAGATGCCATAGCTCTTTTCCGTCTTGGAGTGAGATCTAAGGGCAGGTTAGATGTCCTTTTGTTTTAAGGTGCACTAAGTCTTTGCGGTTCCTCGGCCTCCCCTCCCCAGTCCTGCCGACCCTTCTCTTGTGGAAGCAAAACTGATCCTGAGCCGAGTGAGAAATCAGGAGTGGTGTCTGCTCTCCCAGCCCAGGTGCTCACTTGCTCTGTGTGTGTGGGGTACCCAGACYAGCTCAGAGGTACCCCTGGCCTCACTCGCTTCACTGCAGACCCCACTCCCTTGCTAGAAGTCAGGTGCTTGCTCATTTTCCACGCAAATGCTGGCTCACGTGGAGACCTCCCCTTCCTCAGCCACCCACGGAGCAGGGTGGCTGCTGGCTGGGCCCCCCCCAGTGGAGGGGACAGCACACCCCAGGCTCTGCAGGGATGGGCTCTCCATGGGTGGAAGGCAGGGATGTGAGCAGAGGCCGTGCAGGKCAGGCCTGGCTTTCCCTGAGAAGGAGGAGGTGAATGTACTGCCTGGGGGCTGCCTCCTCCTGCTGCTGCRGTGCTCGGGAGGGGTCACAGGGGGATTTATTTGCCTTTCTCCTTGCCCCTCGCTGCCTGGCTGGCTGGCATTGGCTGGTCCGTGGGGCAGCACGGTGCTGTGGGATACAGCTGGCTGGCAATTCCCAGGATTTCACCCWGGAGTTGCAGCAGAGGCATAAACCATGGCTGTGCTGTTGCTGCTGTGGGTGCTCCATCACTCCTGGGCAGGTGRTTACAGCTTTTGCTGCTTTGGCTGCTCTGTGCTCCGTGGCACGAGCCCTGCAGTTCCTCCAGCTCGCAGCCCTGTCTGCCCACCACGGCAGGTTTGTGCTGCCCTGAGCATGCAGGTCATTCCTGCTGGGAGGCTCCCATGTGCTGTCCCGCTGGCAGGAGAGCCTGGGGAGGTTCTCCGGGTGACACTTCCATGCAGGGCCTTTCCTGGGGTGCCAGCAGAACTGCCCTCAGCCTGGCACTGGGATGCCCAGCCCGGCGCTGCCCAGCTCCCTGTGCCAGCGCATCCCCACAGCTCCACTCCCGCAAAGCTTCCACCATGGCTCCTGCTTTCCCAGGATGGGGTGTGCACCCCGGGCCCCGCCAGCACAGGGGCTCCCGAGGCATCTCAGACCAAAAATCCCTGTGAAATCCCCGTGCTATTTATTGTCCTCAGTAGTGTTTGCTGCTGATCCAGTCCTTTATTTATTTTTCCTCTGGGAGTGCTGCATTTTGACGCCTTGACGCGACACTTCCCTGTGCCGGGGCCGGTGCTCCTGCTCCTCCCGCCCGCGCTGGGCTGGGAACCTGCTGCTTTCGGTGCCTATGTCGGGGTTTTGCAGGGGTCTACAGCCTTGCTGTGGCGCAGGTTTGGAGTGCAAGAGAGCTCTGGGCTTTGGTTTGCTGTGTTTTYRGGAGCAGAGCTCCCACAGGGAACTTGCTGACGTGGGAAGGCGTTCTGCTCTTGTGAGACTCTGTGGTTTTGTCCTGGTGTGGGACTGATGGCRGCTTTTGCCATCGCCGATGTTTTGTTTATCACAAAGTGTGTGTGGAGAGGGGTTAGAAACTTGAAATACAATTTTCCTTAAGGATTGGGGAGGGGGGAGGGGTGAGTACCTTTTGGTTTGAAGTAAGGCAGGTGTATACTTTTGACCCAGGGGGACARGAACATCTCTGGCAGCATCAGAGCYATAACGCCAGAGRAAGGGGTTCCCCAATAAACAGGTAGCTCCAGGTGGGCTTCCTGTTGGGAGAGGATGCTGTGTCCAGAGGCTGTGTGAGCCAGCTCCCCAAAACCCACAGCAGAGGGCTGCATGCCAGCTGTCAGCCCAGGGAGCTGCTGTGGCACTGCTGTGGCTCCAGCTGTCTGGGACAGCAGGGATGCTGCTGCAGGGACGCTGTCAAATTCATTGCCATCTTTAGGGATTTGCTGGCCAGTCTGAGCCTTGGCACGTCGTTTGCTGTGACACTGAGACAGCAGTAGCTGAATTTCAGTCCATGAATGTCTGCAACATCCTGGTGCCGGTGTCAGGCTCTGTGCCTGGCTGCAGCCGTGTGCCTGAGCCCCCAGGGCTGCCCCAGCCTGCAGGCAGGTGCTGGTTGAGCCCCGGGGCCGTGCCTGTATTCACCTCTCCAGGCTTCTGCTCTGACAGCTGGATTTGATGCACTTAACTCGGTTTGATGCGTGGGTTGTCTTTGTGGGCATTTCCCCGTTAAAAAAAAAAGAAGGGGAAAAAAAGGTTGCAAAAATTGTTTGCAAAGAAACCCCGTGCAAACAATGTTTACAGAAACGTGCAGGCATTTTGCATGTTGGCACAAGGTGCGTGCTCACACTTGGCTGGAGGTGCGGGGTGAGCCCGGCTGTGGGTGCTCAGAGGAAGGGGGGAAGGCATTGGGGAAGAGCTCCCAYGTGTGAGTCCGGGTTTGGCTCATTCCCCGTGGCTGGGTGAGCACTCAGAGCCCTGGGCTCAGTGTTCAGCCACCCCATGGGATGCCTTCCCTGTGCCCCCCTTCCCCACCAGCACCCCGTTATCTCAGGGAGGGGCAGCTCATGGAAATGCCCACCCTCATGATCCCCATGCCCTGAGCTTCAGGGTGCCCCTTCCCCTCCTTCCCTTCCTCGGGTCACSTATTTATTYATTTATTTATTTATYTATTTATTTATTTATTTATTGGTATTTATTGACAACTGGAAGTCGAGTGGGGGGGTCATTTCTGCTGCACAGTGGGGGCAGCTGGGTCTCCCCCCCACCCAGCCCCCTGCATTTTGGGGAGGGATGCTTGTGGGTCCCCTTTTTGTGAGGGACAGGAATCACACCGGTGCCTGCAGGGAGGGCAYGCGGTGCTTGTCCCCTTCCTGCAGAGATTCAGAGCCCCCTGCTCCCTCCAGTGCCCATCCCTGTTTATTGACCCGGCCTCCTGGCACTTCTCCCGCTGGGTTTGCTGTCTCCAGGTCCCGGAGAGGGCGGGAAGAGCCAGGACGTGTGAATGTCACTATGGAAAAAAGACCAAACCAGGTATTCTGCTGCCGAGAGGGGAAAATCGGAAAGAGAGGAAAGCTGGTTTTGCAGAGTGCCTTAAACACAAATGACTTTACTGAGTAGGGGGCTCGGACTTCTGTCTCTGGATGTTATTACCAACTCRAAAAATGTTGCATTTCACTTCTCTGGGATTAAAAGAAAACTACTCGAGCTGTACTGGAACCAAAACTTGTGTTTGCTTGAGTCTCTCTGGSTGATTTGTACCTCTGGGGCCATGGCAGCACCGTGGAACAGGCAGGAATTAATGGAATTTCATTCATCAGCCCCTGCCTGCCTCAGCAGTGGGACCAGTGGCTGTCCCTGCTGGCTTTATGMCCTTAGGTCTGGTGACAGGATTTGTTCTACTTTGTCCTGACTTGCAGGTGGCTTCTGAGGTGTCCTGGAGAGGTTGTGCTGACCCTGCAGTGCCCTTCTCTGGGGATGCTCAGAGCAGGCTGTTTGCACCAAGGTTGCTGGTGGGGCTGTGGCCTCAAGCTCCCACAAAATTTGGCACTTGGTTGGAAAGCTTGGAGGGGGYAGACACTGTTTTTTTTTCCTTTGGAAACCAGATCAAAATGAGGGAACAGCAAGAACAGCAAGTAGGAGTTTGTGCAGCCCAGCTCGGGGGAACTAGGGAAGCTACCCAGCTTGATAAAGCTGAAAAACTGCACAGAAGAAAGATGTTTCCCTTTTGAAATTGCAGATTCCCCCTCCCCCTTCTTGCAGAGCGGAACAGTGAGAATAAAAGTCAACCCAGAGACTAATGTTCCTATCTCCTAGTCAAAATAATGCATGGGAATAATACAGTTTCATAACAAAGGTTCATTTAAAAGCCATTTGGGGAAATACACCAATATTTGCTGCATAGTTCCTGAAGGCAATTAAAAATTAATAAAATCTTTTTTTTTGGCAGGGGGTGGGGAGTAATGAAAGAGGGTTGTGGGTGCTGGCCCAGGTTTAGTCTGTGGGATCCTGGAGGGGATCTCACTGAATCCAGTGCATTGCTCACCTGAACATCAAACCTCCCAGTCCCTACTGGCTGGGGAGCACATTTGTGCCCTGAGACAGCTGATTTTTTTAACAGCTSCTCCTTTTGAGCATTGCTGGTCGTGCTGCGCACTGAGGGATGCTGGCAGCCACCAGCCTATGAGCTATTCAGCGAGCAGGTTTCTTTGCTRCTGTTCTATTAAAACATGGCTCATCTCCTGACAAATCCCCGGGATGGTGGTGTGGGAGAGCAGGCAGGAGTCTGCACAGCTCCTGTCGCCTGTTCGTGCCCTGGGAGCAGGGRAGGACCCCCAACCCAGCAGCTAAGGGCAGGCCAGGCTGAGGCACGTTCTTCCTTCCCAGCAGGGACAGCACAACTGCCTTGTGTGAGGCTGTGTGCCCCGGGACAACCTGTCTATCCAAAATGCTGTCCTCACAGAGCAAGAACAAGGGCAGTCTGTGCTGCTGCCACGTCCCCCTGAGCCTGGGCACACATCCCAGGCCACACGGTGCAAAGTGAATGGTGCAGGGTGCCCTGGGGACCAGCACAGACAAAGGACACTGCAAGTAGTACTGGAGGTCAGTTTATTTGTTTGATTCCCTCTTCCACAAAACCTGGAAACAACCACCTTCCGGCAAGAGATGAGAAAGCAGTAAGAAGTGAGAGATTGGCTCTGCAGCTCCTCCCCTACTCACGGGACCAAAGGTGTGTTAGCTGCTCTGAAAGGCACRCAGCAGTTTGGAGCCCCCAGAGCTCCCTGTCCCAGCAGGACACCCCTTCTCACCACGCCTTGGAGAGAGCATGGCTGGTACCAAACAGGAGAGAGCTCACAGCTGGAGCCCCTGGCCTGCTCATCTCGTCCTTGCAGGGCTGGTTCAAGGCAGGCCAACACGCAGGGTTTAGTTCTGCGGGGATGTGCAGGATGGAAGGGCTGGGGAGGGTTGGTTTAGTRCTGCAGTGCACCAGCGGTGTGACGGGACCAGGCTGCGGATCGTGCGGTGCCGGAGGGGCGGGAGCCGGGCACGGGGAGGCTCCCGGCGGGATGGACAGACAGACAGACAGACAGATGGACAGCGCCCTCACTCCGGCTGCGGCGTGTAACGCAGGTACTTCTTGCCCGACGGGAGCTCCTTCGTGAACACTCCTTTGGGAAAGAGCTTCTTGGCTTCCTCGTCAGGCAAGGTGGGCACCACCATGACGCTGTCACCGGGCTGGGGAGCAAAGGGGGACCGTGAGGAGCTGGCAGCGTGGGACACAGGTGGCACTGCCCAGCCCCAGGCATGCCCTGTGCCTGGAGCCAGCACTGAGGGCTGAGGGGAGCTACACCACGAGACAGGGAGGTGTCCAAAGGGACAGCTGTGCCATCTGCCAGCCCTGCCAACGGGATCCCACAGCCCAGCTCCTGCCCACAGCATTCCCATGGGAACAGGGAGTGAGGAGGGGRGAATTGTAGAGCATCTCTGCAATGCTGCAATTGCTCATCCATTCCTATTGCTCAGGCACCCCTGGACGGGTGGTGCTGGCCCCATTTGGTGTTCCAAGCCCTGGAGAAATGTCTGCTTTCCTGAGAAGGGGTGAGCTGGCCCAACCCACTGCAGGAAACAGGAGCCTTCAGAGGCAAGGCACCTGCTGCTTTCCCCACCCTGTGGGTATGCCTCCAATGGAGGCTGGTGGACATTGSAGTGCCAATTTCCAGTGCCTGGCTGTGAGCTTTGCTCTGCTCCTCACCTTCCAGTCCACAGGGGTAGCGACCTTCTTGTAGGCTGTCAGCTGCAGGGAGTCCACCACTCTCAGGATCTCGTCAAAGTTTCTCCCAGTGGTGGCTGGGTACAGGATAGACAATTTCAGCTTCTTATCCGGGCCAAAAACGAACACCTGAGCACAGAGAGACAGGGTCAGGGACTGGATAGACTTGTCTGATCTCTGCTGGATCTGCTCAGCCCTGGAATTCCTTCCTTTCCTGGGAGGTGGACTCCTTGATCACAGGTGTTGGGACAGGGGAGATGCCATGGTGGGGATCTAGAGAACAACTGATGCCTGGGGAACCTGTTTTTGCTCTGGGAGCTCCCCTTTCCAATGCCAGCTTGTTTTGCTACCTGTGCCCTTCTAATGCAAGCACACGAGGGGAGAGGGAAAGTCCAGCAGATCAAGCACTGACAAAAATTAGTTTGGGACAGGCACAACCAGGATGAGTGGGTGACAACAGCAAGACAAAGCTGTTGCCAGCAGGCCAGCACTGCCCTGCCTCTCCAGCACAGCTCATRGTTCAGCCCAAGGCAGTCATCCCAGCTCCTGGACATGGCCATGCCCATCAGGTTTGGGCACAGGGAGGATGGCAGGCCATGGTTCTGCACTGCTGGGAAGGTGCTGTGGGGCCAGCACTCACCACACGAGCGGTCAGGGGCATCCCATCCTTGTCCAGCTCGTCGGGGTCCAGCATGCCCAGCTTGACAGCCAGCTCACGGTTCTTGTCAGCGATGATGGGGAAGGGCAGCTTCTCTGCAGGCTGCTCTCCATTGTAGGCGTTGATGTCCTGCACAGACAAAGCCATGGGATGGATGTTCCTGCTCCTGGCAGCACCGCAGAGACAGAGGCCAGGCAGGGAGTGTGGAGCAATGGGGAATTCCTCTGAGTGACTCAGAGAGGTTTAACCACCATTCCCTGGCAATACAAGTGTCTCTCTTCCAACTGTCTCCCGGTATGAGATCAAGCACTGCTGACAGATGTGTTGGTGTCACACCTGAACTGGACTGTGCTCCTAAGGAATTGTTTCTCTAGTGGCAGAGCGAACCATAGGTCAAGTGTCCAGCACTTCACAGGTCCTGTGCAAGGATCAGCCCCATTCAGCAAGTCACTCACAGCTTGCTTAACCAAAGGCTCCCAAAAAAYAAGAGAGGAAGCCTGAGTGAGGTCACCACTCACTCCTTTCTGAAGCACGTCTGGGACAGAAAAGAAAACCATCCCCATCCACAGCCCTGCAGCCTGTGACCATGGCTTACGAGCCTCCTGCCTGTACTAGCCCAAACTTGCTCTCTGTATTCTGAGAAACTCCAAACCTAGTCTGGACTCGGCCAGAGCACTTACGTTATCCCTGGGATTTGCAGTGACACCCTCAGAGGTCACACTGAGCCCCAGCAGTGCTGCAAGGAGCCTGCTCAAGGCAGCAGCTCAAGGCAGAGCAGCTGCCAGCATCAAAGCAAGTATAATTCTATGTTTCTGCCCCAGAACAGAGCAGCCTGTTCCTTCCATCCTTCTTGTGCTACAAGGGGACAAAACTGTCTGATGATGTGAGCCTCCCTCACACTGCTGTGCTGCATTATCAGCTCAGCTGATAAMTTCAATGTACAAATCTCACTGCCCTCTCCAGGCTTTGAATGTGGGGGGCCGTGCTCAGAGGGAACTCAGGGAGGGCAGGGTTGGAAATGCTGCCCCTTGGCACTGCTCAGAGCAGCCAGCAGCAGCAGGAGCAGGCACCCTGCACCCCTCCTCATCTGACAAAAGGGGCAGCAGCCCTGACCCAGCTGCTCAGGATGCTGCAAGCAGGTCAAGTGGTGCACATGTGGCCAGATATTTCCTTTCCAGCTTTACTCTTTGCTTGTTCTCTACCATGCCTRTCTGAGTCACCACTGCAGTGCAAAAAGGGGCCGTTTATCTTGGCTGGATTGTGGTCAGCCCTGCCTTGGAAGGAAGCAAGGAATCAGTTCTGTTGTCCTGCAAAACTGACTCGTCAGAGCAGAGCAGGGAAGGAAAGCAAAACTGGAGAGTTCAGTTGAGGAGAAATACTGCTGAATGCCCCACAGAGTCACAGGAGGCTGCAGATGAACCTCAGCAAATGAGACCCACMCACTCCTCTCTCTTCAGAACAGGGGCTGGACAATGAAGAGAGCTTCTGGGAAATAATACCTAAATCCTATGGACTGTAACTCGTTCCAAAATGCACGTAATTTCATGACCTGGGGAGTTCTACAAAACAGCCTCACAAACCACACCCTGTTTTGCAATAAAACACCCACGACTYGCTTCCCCATGAACTAATTGTCTTTGCAGAGTCCAAGCTGAAACCAGACATTACTGGAGTGATTTTATTCACCACTGACTCCCTGGGTGCAGGTCTCAGTGGTCAAAGAGAGCACTGAAACCTCTGACATGCACAGCACGTGCCATCCAGCCCTGCTTAAGGAGCTCAGGAATTCCTCCAGCCCTTGGAGAAGCACTGACTGGGGAGTGAGATCAATCCCAGGCTGAGCTACAGCCTTGTTCCTGGAGCAAGCCTCTGTTTTTTTGGCTGGGGATGGCTAARAATAAGCTRTGAYATCTCAGGCTGGCAAGCACAGCTRAACAAAGTGACMGAGGATCATTGGCTACACTCAGGCTCCACCTGCCCACTGAAATGTGGCAGCAAAGCAAGCAGGAATTTATTGTTTCCTGCAGGATTTCAGCCACCCCTCCTGCCCATTTGCTTCCTTGCAGGCTGTGCTCCTGATAATCTCACCACAGCATGGATTGCTGCCCTTCCATGGTTGTTCTGGAAGGCTTTCCTACTCTGCCTCCCTTCAGTCAGCRTCGAGAGGCTGTTCTGCAGCTTCTGGTTTTACCTGGGGTTGTGGTGAACAATTCCGTGGCATCAGCAAAGTCAGCTCGTTTTTCATCTCTTTTCCAGATCATCTGAGTCTGCTGAACCCCACACATCCCTGCAGGCCCTGGACAGAGCTCAGCACTTCCCTCCCTGCTTTCCTGCAGCAMAGGGCTTGCCCTTCACAAAGCTGATTTCACTGAAAAGCTCCCTGCAAATTCAAAGCCTTTGCAGAAGTCAGCAATACCCTAATTCAAAGGGCTGTAGGCAACCAGGAGACAAGACTCCCTCACAAAAGCACAACCCAAACTTTGTGATGTTTAATGACATGTTATTTGCTAATTTGACTGCTGGTTTCAGCACAGAAATTTCATTTACTGGGATTTGTACATTGCTTTTCCCAGGCCCTTCTGAGGCTTGCTGGAACATTGGCCATGCACCCTCAGGTACAGAGGTCAATTTAAGCAACAAGGTAATTAGCTCATTTCTAAAGCCACTCAGTGAAACAATGTCTGAGTGTAGAAATTTCTCACCTTTAATGGCTCTTATTGCATACATGTCTCACCCCTGGAAAATATGTGAGAACATTCCAAAGGTTAAGGGCTAAGAAACTGGCAGGCAATTCTTACCCAGGGATTTTCACAGTCTGGCCATTTCTGTCTGAAACACTCATTTTAGACCCCTACCACCTCTAGCCCTGGAACYATTCTCCCTGGCAGCACAGGGAAGTTTCTCTTCAGCTCCTTTCAAGTTCCTCCACCAAGTTATTCCACTCCCATCTTTTTTCTAATACTTCCTCGTGACGGTTTTACATTCACCATTCTCCTCTTTGTGGTTTTATGTTTAACACGTCCCTGTTTGTCCTCTGTTCTCCCTTCCCGAGCAGGAACCACATCCTTTGAAGATTGCCTGCTCACTTCTGATGCCTCTTTTCCTGTTTTATTACAGAACTTTCTGAGGCTCTGTGGACAGGTTGCCTTCCCCTGAGGTTTTGGCATCACCCCCCCATGTTTTAACCCTTTAAGCGACTGCTGGGACAGCAGTAATATTGTTTTCCTCTTGTATCAAAGTGCACAGAGCACCTTGGATTTTGTGGGCTGCTCCATTTAGATGGAGAAGACCTTCCCGTTCCTGCTCTGAATTTTAGCACCCCCGTGCTTTGGGATGTGAGATACGTAGCTCCAAGCCTGTGTGAGCTTCTCCTGTGGCCTCTGGAGCAAGGCAGAAGTGCAAACTGCCCCCCTGCAGCTCCCCATCACCCGTACCTTGCACCAGGAGAGGTGGTCCTGGACGCTGTCGATGGAGAGCGCGATCATCTTCACGTTGCGCTTGCTGAACTCGGGTGCCAGCTTTGCTGCCCGGCCCAGCTCCGTGGTGCACACAGGGGTGAAATCCCGTGGGTGGGAGAACAGGATGCCCCAGCTGGAAGGAGAGAGCAGGAGCTGRTGTGAAGCTGAGATGTCACTCTGGTTTGTGCTGCAGACAACAAACTGCAGATTGCACGGCGTGGAGGAGGGAACAGCTCATCTCCCTGATAAGGAAATCCTGCCCTGGAAACTCTTCCTTCCCCATCACCAGAAACCTTCATGAGATAAACCCTGCTCTGAGAAACTCCCTGCACCTCGCTCCCCACTCTGCTCTGAGCTGCTAAATGTCCTCAATGAAAATTCAGGAATTAATCAACCAACAGGGAAGGCCAGAAGTTAGCATCACATTATGGTTCCTGTTACAATGACACAGCCACCTYGCTTTTGCTCACTGCTTGCTATCAGCGGGTTTTGAATCTTTAGAGCAGGCAAATGCTCATCTTACACTTCAAGACAGGCAAGCAGTGCAGCCAGCATGCTGCAGGATGGGCTGGAGCAACAAGGCTTCCCAGGGGCTAAAGCAAAGCCACCCCCAGCACTTCAAAYTCCCTGCCAGGGACTTGTTGCACCATTTCTCAGCTCGAGACTCACAGATTTTCCTGCACTGATCTTCATCTGGCCCCCAGTACCACARCAGTGGGGGAAAAGTCCTGTCTGAGAGATTTGGGAACGCAGTTGCAGGGATCAAGTGAGGCACCCTGCAGCTCTGCCAGAGCCGTGTGACTGCCACGGGTCACCAGGAATTTACAGGGMAGTTACCTGGCCACTGCTGCCATGAGCCTCTTTATACAATAAGTACACTCCTTGGATAAATAGCAGCGAACAACCAAGGAGAAGGTGCCACAGGGGCGATCAGGCCGGAACCGCCAGTTTCACAAGGCCCGCAGCTAACGGCTCTTTTTTTTCCCGTTTGCCCAAGCTCACAATGCCGACAGAAGGGGACTCAAGCGCTGATTCAAGCCTGCCAAGCGTTGCCGGGAGTGAGTCCCAAACACGCTGTGCCTGTGTCAGAAATGGAGCAACGAGCTCTGCGGGAAATGGAGCCCGAAGGCACGTGGCTCCAGGTTGGGCTCAGGAAGGGCAGAGCCCGTTGCCACGCTGCTCTGCACATCTCCACACCCTCCCGGGATGTACGCGACACCCGAGCTGGTCCCCGGGCTCTGTCTCGGCCGTGTCCTGCGGGGCTCGGCTCGCCCTCCGGCCGCGCAGCCGGGGATGATGGGGATGATGGGGATGATGGGGACGGGCGGCTCCGGCCACCGCGCTGCCCGGCAACCCCGCCGTGCCCGCCAGGGAAAAAAAAAACACATTTAAGAGCAAGCGTGCCCGGCGTGGTGACACGGAGTTCACCCGTGTGGAAGAACCGTGGTGAGCGGTCCCGCTCCTTCCCTGCTCCCCGGGCACCACCGCGGCAGCGCGGACATCCCACCCCCSGCTCCTGCTCCTGCTCCCGGTCCCGGTCCCGCCGCATCCCCAAGCGCTCACGAGTCTCCCARGAAGTCGTGGAAGCGGATGCGGCCCTGCGTGGTGTCCGCCTCGAAGTTGGGCGCCTCGTCCCCCAGCAGCAGTCCCGGCATGGCTGCRGTTCCCGGGGCAATTCCCTCACACGCTCCCGCTCCGCTCCCGGAGCCGCCGCCGCCGCCGCCTCCTCTGCGCCTGCGCGCGGCCACCGCCCCCTCCCCTCCCCGGCCACGTGACCGGCGGGCACGTGACGGCCCTCAGGCGGCGGMGGCCGTGATGGCGACCTACGTGAGCGAGCTGGAGGCGGCCAAGAAGAGCCTCAGCGAGGCGCTGGGCGAGAACGTGAAGCAGTGAGTGCCCTCGGGGAGCGGGGGATACGGGGCTGGGCCGTCCTGCCCGGCTGGATCGGGGCTGTGCGCGGCGCGACCCGCCCGGCCCCTCTCGGCCTCTCCCGGCCTCTCCCGGCCCGTGGTATTTGTGCCGTGTCTGTGCAAAACCTCCGCGCTGCTCGGTGTGGGGACAGCGCTTTTCCTCCGGTGYCTGCACCGTTCCTAGAGGTGCTCAAGTAAAGACTGGTGTCGAGGCACAGGTTGGACTCGATRATCCCGGAGGTCTTTTGCAACCCAATTGATTCTGTGATTCCCTGCTCTTCCCGAGGTACTGGGCCAACCTGAAGCTCTGGTTCAAGCAGAAGATCAGCAAGGAGGAGTTTGACCTGGAAGCGCGCAGGCTTCTCACGCAAGACAATGGTAAAAATCTAATTTGTGTTCGTGTCTGTGCCTTGYCCTGCCACGCCTGGGAAGCTCCTCCCGGCTCCACGGTGCTTCCCGAACAGGGGAAGTGCTGTGTGGGAAATAGGAGTGGCCAGGGCTCCGGTAGCAGTGGAATTCAAATAGTGGGAAGTCTTTTTCTGTTGGTGTCATAGTAGTAGATTCTGAGCCCAGTAGAAGAAAACTCTCAAAACCACTTTAAATTGAAAGCTTTGTATTTTGTTACTAAGTGAGTGGGGAGGACACGGCTGTGGGAAAGCTTAGGGAGCTACTTTAGGATGGCTTTGAGGGGGTGYCTCTGGGCACTGATCTACTGCTAATGAGCTCTCTCTCTCTCCTCAGTCCACTCTCACAATGATTTCCTCCTGGCTATTCTCACCCGATGCCAGATMTTGGTTTCTGCCCCAGGTAAGTCCTGAGAAGTGCACTAAGCACTTGGTGTAACACTGTGCCATGTGTGTTTGGGGTGTGTGCACACAGTAGCCCAGTTTTCTGAAATATTTTAAATATTCATGGGGTTTTTTTGCCACACAGGCAGAAACATAGCAAAATAGTGATTCAGCTGATTGCAGCAGAGATGCTGTTATGACTAAGTTGTGCGTGTTTGGTTAGAGGCTGATCCTGGGTTGCTGCCTGTGATAATCTGGTTTGATTTCTGGATTGGGTGTCTGGTGTGGCCTTAACGGTAAAGGCAGATGCAGCTTTCTCTTTGATCTTCTTTGCTTACCCACTCCTCTGAACTTTGTTCATGTCTGCTGGGGAGGTCATTTTAGAGAGCTGGGTATTTCTGACTGATCTTGATTTCAAGTACATTATCTGATAGCAAAGTGCTTACAGTGAGCCTTGGTTGAGCTGTGACCAATTAACCCAGTCTTCTGCAGATAGTTAACATTTTAACTTTGTGACCACATAGAATCACACTTAGCTTTTTGAGCATCTGGAGTGGCTGTCCTCAGGGTTGCAGGGTGTGTTTTGTTTGATCTTCAAAAGAGCTCTCAACCCAGAAATATTTTAGATGTGATTGCAAGGGTAATTGAGCTGCAATTCAAGATATGGAACTGCTGTGTAGGAAGGGAGAGAATATTGTTACAATTTACATGGGCTGAAACTTCAGAGTTTCCTGAGAGGAGAGAATACCTGTTACTGAGATGCTTGTTGTTATAGCTAGAAGAAGTAAAACCTGCAAACATCATGGATGCCCACAGGTTTTTGTGTTGGAGCTGCTCCTCARCTATACCAGCTGTGCTAATTAAATGTTAATTGGCCCCACCTCCAAACTTGCTTCTAGATTCAACTCTATGAACATCTTGTGAGCCCTAGACTTGTTCATTTTATGGATCTGGACTCATGTAAATCAGGTGGTTTACATCTGAGCTGCTGCTCCTTGCTTTTGACATAATTAGTTACAGCTGGGTTTTAAAAAGAAAGCACAAGGACMGTGATTCCCCTGATTATAACCTGGAGCAGCTGTGTTGAAATGAGGAAGGGGTGGGAGAAGGTGTGTGTTCTCTGAGCTCAGCAAKGAGCTGCTGGGAGTGTTGGGGTGGAGTTCATTGCTCAGAACTCTTCCTTATGAGAGGCAGTGCTCAATTTAGAGCCTATTGCCATGTGACTGAGGTTTGGGTTGTTATTCCTTTGTGCATGCTTTGGGCTTAGCTGTATTGAATGTCATTTGTCTCTTTTAGTCACGGCAGCTCTTCTGCAGCTGTCTGGTCAGGATTTGTCAGCAAACTGCCCCAGATGTCCCTTCTCAAGGCTGTTTAGGAATGTGTTAAAGACAGGAGCCCCAGCACAGAGCAGGGTGCTGCTCCACAGGTGCCTTCCATATGCTCACTATTCCCTGCCTGACCTTTAATTTTAAGTCCTTGGAGGTTGTTTTCTCTTATCCTATTGCAGCTGCTCTGTTTGGAGTCCYTGAAGAGCTTTGGTTGTAGTAGAAGGTACAGCAGGTCAGTGACAACCTGTAGAGGGTTCAGCAGGGAGTGGTGTGCCAGCTGGCCAGGATCCTTCTCYAGTGCTGGCCACCTCCMGGGCTTCCAGGCAAGCTTTGGCTGRCTCTGTGTCCACAGATTGCATAAGCCAGCTTGAAATAAGTCAGTTTAATCATGGGTGTGGTTTTTTTTAAGGCTTGATGAGGTGCTCTGGAAAGGGCAGTGCATTTTGATAATCCCTTCTAGAGTCTGAGTTTGGCTGTCCACAGATGAGTGCAGAGTCTCCCAATGATTTGGGAGCTGATTTTTGCTGAGGTGCCTCTTTCTGGACCACTGACTCATAGATCTCTTACAGGCAAGATCTCCCTCTCAGCTGTGTGTGGTGTAGGGTTGTACATGCAAGCCCCATTTTCTTCCCCTAGATGCCAGTCTGACACCTGCTAGTTTTTTTTGTTGTGGTTTGTTTTTTTTCTCTCTTCTTTTCCCCCCTCCATGTAAGAATGGAAAGCATACAGGCTTTTGTTTCAGCCACTGCCTTTTGGGTAGAAGGTGTTTACTTCATGATTCATGGAAACAAGTAACTTTAAAGAAGTGTTTTTGAAGTATTTGGCACACCATCAYAAGGGTTACTGATGCATGTACTTTCCACCCACGTGTGAGAGAGACAAGGGGAAAGAACCATCCTTAAAATGCTACTTTGTATTAAGAAAATAACTGTGTGGTCAGTGTCAAAACTCTATTTGATATGGTATTGTATTGGCATAAGAAGCCTTGGGGAAKGTATTTTCCAGGAGTGATTATAATATATATTGAGCCATGCAAACAAACCCATCTGATCTCAATTTTGCTGCCCCTTGCAGTAATGCTTCCACCTGGGATTTAGTGGAGCAACTGGTGAATGTGATATTTTTTGAGAATGCTTTGCATTTCCGCCTCTCATCTACTTAGCCTGTTGGTCCCCTGAACTGCAAATCCCATTTCCAAGGTTTTTGTGGCATAGGGTGTTTAGGGCTTGGTGGTGGAAAGGGAGGGAGCTGTGTTGTCTATTCTGATGTGAAGGATGAACAGTTGAGGTCAGCTCTTCTGACTGTGTCCCCTCCCAAGTCCCTGTGCACTGCCAGGCTCCTCACTGGTTGGAGTGGGGTGAGAAGCACAAAACCCCTTGACTCTGTGCAAGTGCTGCTCASCAGGAATGAAAACATCCCTGTGCTACCAACATTATTCTTGACACAAATCAGAAACACAAAAAAATTGGAAAAAAATTAACCCTTTCCCAGCTCAAAACAGCACACTGGGATTTTTCTTTCCCCAAAAATTCCATCAAGAGGAACTCTGGTTTAAATCCTTTCGTAACCTTGCAGGGACTTGCTCACTAAGCTTGCATTGTTTGTTGGACAGTTGCAAGTGCTCAGGTTAGCAAGGTTTCTTCAGTTAATACCTATCTTGCTTGAACTGTTAGCTCCTTTCTTAGCTAAACGTTAACAATAAAACTGAGACAGTTGCACACTTGAGTTAGTGGTGTAAGGATTTAATTTATTTAGTAGTAGTCTGGAGCCAACTAAACGATGGTTCAGTGAATTAGAACTCATACTGGAGTAACAGGAGCATTTTATTTTATCAGGTTTGTCAGCAGGCTTTGCTTAGAGGGCTTCCAGCTGTGAGATGGGCTCAGGTTGTGTTTGCTCCTCTCCAGAGTGCGGAGAAGGGGGGACAAGTAAGAAAATAGGGGTGTGAATTGTTGGCAGAGAAGGTTCAGAATATCAGCCAAATATCAGCAGAATACTCRACAAAAACCCTTGTCCCTGCAAGAAGATACAAACAATCCCCCCCAAAATGAAGCTCAAGTAAACAAGAGCGTGAAATGTGCGTTTGCTCTGCCTCTCTCGTGGTGACTTTCTCTGTATCTTTGTTCTTTTCCTGTGCTGATGCAGCATGTCGAGAAAACGTGACAGGCTCTGTCTAGACTAGCCGGTGCCATCATAATGGTGACGTGCAGGGATGTGGCAGCTCTTAGAAATATGTTTTTACCTGCTGCTGATCTTTGAAGGCMGAGCAGCAGCCCTGCTGTGGCTTGTTAAAGTCTGATTTCTTTAGTAGAAAAATTGAATAAAAGTTGCTGACRTCTCTGAAGTTTCACGCCTGAGCCAACCCAGCCTTGTCATTTGTGGCCAGAAAGGCAAGTGTTGGTTTTCTTAGAATGCTAGAGGGAATTTCTGCTTTCTTCATCTAGTGCAAGTCAGGCTTGGTAATATGAAAACCTGGAAAAGGAACCAAAAATTCTGCTTGGGCCTCATTATAATGGGGAATAGGAGCCTGTATCTCACCTTTTCATTGTTTTAAGCTGAGTCTAGTTCTTGTTGTAGTTCTTGGCTAAGTTCTTGTTAAATGTGCACATTGAGATTCAATTAAGTTGTATCTTTCAGAACTACTGTCAAAGCCTAAAAGTTCATTTGCCATTTAGTTTGAAAGCTACTGTATTATTTTTTTGGAAAAGGTATTTTAAAAATTTAGACTTGGCTGTAACCTATTATATCTGTAGTACATTGTCAGAGRAAAGAGTGTTTGCAGATTCCATCTCCATCCATTGTCCTTTCTCTGGTCACACAGCTGTGAAGTGAGGCTGTGAAGGAGCTATGTGAGATTTCTGACAAGGAGGAAGGGCTTGGGGTGCGGGACACTGGGAGCTAGAGGTGTGCTTTTATTGAGAGCTCTGRAATAGGACAGGTCATTTGTGTGTCTGTCCTTAGTGCACCTAATTCCCCCTGACCAGAAGTGGTGTGACCTGCTGTGGAGGAGAGGAAGAATAAGACCTGTAAAAACCAAAATAGCTGAGAGAAGTAGCGTTATTTGGACGATCCTGAGAGCCCTGAGATCCTGATGGAAGGGCAAGTGTGGTGTTTGATGTGGTTTTCCACTGTGATTTCCTATACTGCGTCATTAGGGCCTTTCCTGTGATGTATTGAGTGGTGACACCAGCTTTATGATTTTTGGGGAGGTTTTATTTTTTATCTTTTAATTTCTTAATTTGACCAGTCGATTTAGACAACAGGGTTTGTAGATTACTGCCTTTTACCCCTCTGATAGGATGTAGCTAAATTTCTTGGTTAACTTTTTTTTTTATACTGGGAGAATGTGCCGTCTCTGTGTATAAGTTGTTTCTACTCCTTTMTTAGCAGCTGACCATTTAAAAAATGCACCTGAATCCCCTAGTTTAGCCTGATCCCTAAAGCCATGTGTTAGAAATTTCTTTTTCCATGGCAGAGAACACTGTTTGTGCACCAGTCATAGGTGTGGCAAGCTCCCCGTCGCCAAGAACTTCTAGCCAACCTCATTCCTTACAAATAGGGCCATGATATAACTGTATTTATGAATTCCTGACTACAGCAAATTAAACAGAGTTAATTACAGGTTACAGCAAATTAAGCATAATTGGGAGAGCCAGAGGTAAACCCACAGGTTGGTGTGAAGCTGGTGAGAACCGTGGCAGCCTGTGGGAGCAGGAGAGAACCACAACTGGGTGTTGGTCTGTGCTCAGTGAGTGTGCCTGAGGCTGGCCAGGTTGTAGGTGGTGAGATGTGGAAAGGCTGCTGTCTGGAGGAAACTCTGCAAATTCTGCCTGAGGTGTGACCAGGGAATGTCTGAGACATCGCTGGGCTGTCAGAATTGCCTGACAGCAGAGCTCTGGCCTCTGTTTCAGAGGCAGCTGAAGTCCCTTCACAGCTGAGTTGTCTAAGCTCCCTGGAGGTGGGCAGGGACCCAGCTCAGGGCATGCTTCGCTCCAGGCAGAAAAAACAAGGCACAAAGCAGAGCTGCCTCTGTAGCCGCAAGGGGGCTGTCCAGTCTCGGAATTGCACTTGCTCCCTGTCAGCAAGACGCACATCCAATGCAGTGCTGTCCTTAGCCCCAGCGGTCCTGAAGCAATTAATTGCTCACAGATGCTGTAAACCTGTCAGCAGGAAATTTGCTGGGCTGCCCTTGCCAAGAGCTGTGTGATTTGGTTTGGCCTGCTGTAGGTGTAGCTGTCAGACAGCCGTTCCAGTGGACTTCGGAGCTGGTGATGGGACCAAATGTATTTATTTGTTGGTACTAAATAGGAACCTCTTCCTCAGCTGTTTGTTCACTTGGTCACATTAGTACCATCCTGCTCCTGGACTCAGTGACCTCTGCAGCTCTTCCCCACTCTCCTTCCCCTCAGTGTARCAGAACAAGTGATGTTTAATWAGGATCCATGACAAAACCTGCTGARGCAAAAAGAGAACTGRGAAATCAGCCTGTTCAATCCAGATGATTTAACATCTGACTGACCTGGAGTGGGTGGGAGGAGAACCCACCTTCAGGCAAGCTCTCAACAAATGGCTTATTCCTTCCTTTTGGCTTTGCTTACAGGCTCTACTTATTTCTCTCCTTCCACCACGGGTTTTATGTGGTGTGTGGACAGAAATTGCACCATAAGCCATGGGTCATGAGTGAGTCAAACTAGTAAGGGGCTGACAAAGGAAGAGGTTCCAAAAGTGTTCAGCCCTTGGAAGACCTTCCTCTGTCCTATGGCTGTTGATTTTGTGTTGAGGCTTAGCAGGTGGCCCAATTACAAGGGTTTTCCTATGTGGACAGTTTTATCATGGCCCTAAATCAGCAACACCAATTGAGTGGGTTTTTTTTKGTTTAGTTGGTTTTTTTTCTTTTCAATTTATAGAAGGTGCTGGATCTCTACCATGGCCAGGTGGCTCTGCAACTAAACCTGGAAAACCCAAAGGCAAGAAAAAGATTTCTTCGGTTCGACAAAAATTTGATGTAAGTGTCTGTGGTTCTCTTTACTCGTCTGCCCGATTCTTAAAGCAAGTGATTTGCTATTTATTTAGGCAGTCAGACAGAATTCTGTGACTAACTCTGCAACCCAAAGCATTAGAAACAAGATACTTCTTTGGTGTAATGTTTTTAGAAGGRCAAGTTGTTTCAGAGCTGAAAATGCCTTTTMAAGGTGCTGAGTTCTGGTAGGTGGSACCGAAATGTGCAAGATCCAGTTCATTTTGTAGCAAAGGTTCTGTACATCCACCCAGCACTGTCACACCTCTGTTCTGTAGTTGTTTCTGTGCTGCCAGACCACTGTGGAGCGGGTCTGGTGTGACAGAGATTTGGGATGAGGCACTCTCTTCAACAGGCAGAGTTTGATAAGGTGCATAATGCCCTTATAGGGACTATGATTAGGCAGTGTGGGTGTGTATGCAGTGTTCCAGAGGGATCTGAGTCCAGCTGAAGGCTCCTTGTGTTTAGAAATTACYGAAATATTTTGCAGGGCTCACAGCTGCAGCCTGAACTGTGATGTTCTAAATTCAGTCTGTGTTCCCTTGCCTGTCTAAAAAATTCACTTTTCAGTTCAGTAGCAAGTAGATGAGAGTTAGAGAATCGAGTTGTAGTGTAGTGGAAGTCTTAGAATTTTATAATTTACTCAATACCCCCAGGATGCRCCAGATTTCTAGTGTGTGTTTATACACATGTTCAGGAAGAATGTCTTGGCAATAAGCACTGTATAAAGTACATGCTGTGATTAATGGCCTTATCTGTTGGCGAGTGGAATTCCTTAGTATGAACTTGGAATTGCCTTGGTATTTCCTAATGTTTCCCTCACTGGTCAAAATAGCAGCTGTGAATGACCACAGGTCTGTTCCAGTTGGCTTCTGCTCTCCAAAACCRTATTGCTCTTGAGAGTTGCTTACATCTTGAAGGTCTTTTTTTCCAAGCATGGGGCTTTCCTGTAATGAAAGCATAAATCTTTACAATTATGGGGAGGGAAACCTGCTTTCACATCAGTAGTGGGTGGATTGGTTTTTCAGTCTGAGTTAAATGCCACTCTGTCCTTTGACTAAAGCAGCCCCTCTTTCTCCCCTGAAACTTAGATTTGAGAAATCCACTTTGCTGCATATTAATTGTTTATATTTAAAGAATGTGTTGGTCCTGGTGCTCCATAAGAGCCTTGCAGCAATCTCAATTCCAGAGCCATTGGATTTGTGCATTGGAGAGTAGAGGGTTCCAGCCTTCCACAACTTCCAGGTTGTGGGAATATGATTCTTGTTCCCTTGTGGATTAGAGCTGGGCCAAGCACATATCTGGGCTCAAGGATCAATAATTTCCATTTGCTTTGTTCCCTCCTTTCTCTGGGGACTGAGGAGCCACCACAGGCACTCAGAGTTTGAGACACAATGCAGCAAAGGATTTGTGCTAGAATACATGTGGCCTGAGAAATGCCACCTTCTGGTATGAATTCCTGTTGTGTGATGAGYTTTTTTTCCCTGGAAAAGAGAGTCAGTTCTGAAAAAGTCATAATCCCTCTCAGAATTAGTGGCTGCTCAGTAACACAGCTCTGCTTAGTGAAAGTATACAGGGAGACTGGAGTATGAAGTTAGGGCTGGAATTGGGCTAAGTTTAAAGCATTAGAGAGGTGTAAGAATCAATCACACAAGTTTAGGATCATGGGTTTTAATCTGGAGGGAAACTGTACAGTTATTAAATAAAAAATAGACTGTTCTGTACCAGAAATGATTAAATAGATGAGAACTCTTCAGCATAGAAGATGTCTGAGGGATGTGAAAATCCAGTCATTGGCCTGGGTAGTGGGAAAGGAGATAAAAAGGACAGTGACTGACCACATTTTAGACTCACAGGAGAATCAAATATAGCAGGTGGGGAGGTGCAGAGCAGACCAGAACAGGTGACTCTGCATGTGGATGTGTAGAATTTCTTGGTGCAATGCATTGTGAATACCCAAAGTTTAGGGGTTTGCTGCTGGACAAGCTCAATGAAAGGATACCAACACTGACTTAGCAATCTTTTCTGTTACAAGTTATTGGGGGTTGGGAGAGTATGCTGGGCAGGATTTTTGATATTTTTTATAGGTGTATGGTTTCTGACTGGAGAAGGGATGTCCTCTTGATATGAACCAAAGGGTCTGAATGAACATTATCTTATGCTTTAACGTTGTGTTCATGACAGCACCGGTTCCAGCCTCAGAATCCCCTGTCAGGAGCCCAGCAGTTTGTGGCAAAGGATCCTCAGGAGGATGATGATTTGAAGCTGTGCTCTCACACCATGATGCTCCCAACTCGTGGCCAGCTGGAAGGAAGGATGATCGTAACCGCGTACGAGCACGGGCTGGACAATGTCACCGAGGAGGCAGTGACAGCCGTTGTTTATGCTGTGGAGGTGAGGCTGGSCTGGGTGCCAGGACTGGTGGTCTCATGACACCAGCAGCAAAAGGCTCTGTATGCACTCTGGAGGGTTGGCCCTCAGAGTAATGTTGAGAATCAAAAGGCTTTTGGGTTTGTAATGCCCTAGATGTAAAGTCTTGGACTTCTGCCTGCAAATGTTAATTCTGAAGTACTTGTATAGTACCCCAGGCATGCTTAAGTAGCTGTTGTGGAAAATGCTGTTCCTGTCACTTAAAAGCAGGGATGGAATGGAAATACCTGTTTGAGTGGTTCTATAAAAAGGAATCCATTATAGGCACAATTGTCTGGCTTGGCTGTGAAGCAACAGGATTGAGTGATATCCCCAGGTTTTGGCCGTTGGTGGGGCATCACTTTACACATCCCAGGAATGACACAGCCGCTGCTTGGACCACTGACATGTGGGTGTTTTTTTGCACTCAGGATGTGGAGGCCAACGCAAATTCCCCATCTGGGAGCAAGGCCAAATTAAGAAGTTGTTTGTTTGTTTTTTTCAGACAATTCCTTCTCCAGCACTTTTCAGGCAAATAAAAAAGATGAGCAAGTGGCTTTTCACTGTCATTTCAGGGCTTGTATTTCAATTCAAGTGTAACATCTAGTATCGATTATGAAATCTTAACATTAAGCAGAGGTTGGGAATCTCCTAGCATTAAAGACACCCCCCTGACATTTGAAGCAGGACATCACATACTAAAGTGTAGTTCACCAGCTGATGCTTACAGTACTCACACAGTGCCATGTTCTCTGTATCCAGCTACTGGATAATGACAACATCCTGTAGCTTCTCCAGATATTGGTCCCCTTCCATCTTTAGGTCCTTGTGGTMATAGCAGCACTGCCTCTGTTTTGCCCACTGGTGAGGCCCTTCTCCTAGCCATGGATGAATACATCAGCACATGTTGTAAGATTCGTTTTTTGTTGCAGAACCATCTCAAGGACATTCTGACCTCTGTGATATCCAGGAGGAAAGCCTATCGTCTGAGGGATGGCCATTTCAAGTATGCCTTTGGAAGCAATGTCAACCCTCAGCCATATCTGAAGAACAGTGTTGTTGCTTATAACAACTTAATTGAGTGGTAAGGAGCTTTCAGCACACTGATAATGTAAATGGATTTTGCTATTCTTGGAGTTACTTCATAGCCCTGTTTATTATTTTATGTGTTAGTGCTGTTTTTCTTTCACAAACTAGTAAGGCATTGGTATGGAGGACTGTACAGATAAACAAGGAGTGAGTCTATGGGGACTTCCCAGCACTGGGCTGTAGGCCAGTGTYAGACCTCTCTTTCTTACCTCTACTTATCCATCAGTTTATTACTGCTTTTTGGAAACTTTAGTAACACAGGAATTCTCTGCCTTTGTGGAGACACAGCTGTTGTGCCATAGGATTGAAATGTCAGTGAGGACCTGCAGGATGCTGCCATCTTGTAATTTCTTGCATCCAAATGTATTTATGGTTCCTTGGCACATCTTTCCAGTTAGAGCTTCGAGGTCTTCTTGTTTGGAGTCTCAGTATCAAAGAGTTTGTGCAGTGTGTCTGACAGCGTGTGTGTATGAGAAAGGAGTTTTGTTTGTCTGTGGCAGCTTCTAGCAGTTGACAGGAGGTCGTGGGTGTTTTAAGATTTGGTTATAGCATCACAAACAACTCAGCATAACAGCCAGTGTTCCAGTTTAATGTTGCATGTGTCTTAATTTTTATGCTGRGTAGAAACTACTGGCTGTAAGTAGCAAAAATTGCACAATAGAGACCACTTAAGGAGGGTTGAGGCATAGTGAGGATTGGTCCACACTGTTTTTATTAAACTGGAATTTAAAAGCAATTTTTATTGCAGCTGAAATGATTTTATGTACATATGGGCCACATCAGCTTTACTTGCAGTAAAGCAAGGCCCCTGCAGTGTGACTGCCACAGCTGGTGCTGGTTTTGTGACCGGGATGTTTGTGTGCCCCCAGCCCCCCAAGCAGCGCGACGCCCTCGGCGGGTCAGAGCCTGGCCCCTCCACCCGCTCCTGATGATGCTGAGCAGCAGGCAGCCCTGCTCCTGGCCTGCTCTGGGGACACCCTGCCAGCATCCCTGCCTCCAGTCAACATGTACGACCTCTTTGAGGCATTGCAGGTAAGCTGGTCGTGTCACAGCTTCCTGCCACAGGCAGCACCATCCTGGGTGCCAGCTGCCAGTCTCAGATGTGGTTTACACRCATTGAGGGGGATTTATTTTCTCATCCTAGAGCCTCTTTCCCTCTCAGATTTACAATTCTTTGGCTTTGATTTGTTCCCACTTTTAACATGCAGTCAGCTCATGGTTTGATGCTTGTTCTGTTTCCCTTAGTCAGAGAGCTGATGAGGAAATCCCTGTCTCACAGCAAGAAGGGCGAACTCTACATCTGTAGCRAGACTGCAGTGATTATATCAGAACTGAGCTAGACTGATTTTGACAGTGCTGCAGCAAAATAACTTACCTGGCATGTCCCTTGTTACTCCTCATGTTCCACCTGGGTACTTAGATGAATACTTGGTCCTGGCATGCAGGCCACTGTAGTGGGTTAACTATGATCACCCCAGCCCTGGGGGCATTTAAGGTAGGGTGGGTTAATTTTCATTGGAGATGTATGGCTGTGGTGCTCTCCCTTTCTGGCTGCTGTGGGGACGTTGACTACTTTAAATGTCTAAGATTTGCTGTGAGAAATTCTCCCTTGATGGTCTCTGCTGTTGTGAACAGGCYCTGGGATTTGGTCTCACAGCTGCAGATAGACCACAGAGCTGTAATGAAGCATTCATTTCAAGTTTAGTCAGAATTATTGTTTCGAAGGTTTTGATGACCAATTATTGATTGCCACCCCAAGTGCAAAATGACTATTTCCTTACCCTTAGAAAGTGGTGTAAGAGGTGGTTGTGCTGTGCTGGCTGCTGTGGCAGTGCTGGCAGGGAGCAGCATTCCATGTGAGAAAGCCTTTATTCCCCCTCCAGGGCTGGCACCTGGAACATCCTGTGGCAGAGGGAGGTTATTCCCTGGGCAACACAGGGAAATATGTATGGAAGCCTTCAATTTGTTTTCTAATGTGCATTTCCAGGTACACAAAGAAGTTATCCCTGCACACACAGTCTATGCCCTAAACATTGAGAGGATTGTCATGAAACTGTGGCATCCAAACCACGAGGAGCTACAGCAGGACAAGATCCATCGGCAGCGCCTGGCATCAAAGGAGGGCCTCCTGCTCTGCTAGAGCTGGGCAGCCCTGCCACCTCAGGTGGCTCCAGCCTGTTCCTGGGACTTGTCGTTGGGATGCTCCTTACAAACCTGTGTCAGCATCTCAAGGGTGATGTAATTTATGAGTCAGCTTTTCCTATGGAAATGTGACTGAGTTGTGGGACACTTCCTCTGCTTCCCCAGAGCCATGTGCCATGGAGTACTTACAGCAATGCCACTGAATTGGAAAGAAGAAACGAGACATTCACAAAGACTGGTTTATAGGAAAAATAAATATGGGAGTGGAAAAGAGTTGGTTTTAAATAAGGTGAGCTTTTGTCTTCTTTTGTGAGCATGGCGAATATGCCTCCTTGCCCTCCCCCTCAGGCAGTTTCCCTCCTGAGCTCAGACTCCAGAGGCCTTGTCCAGTTTCTGTTGCAGCTGGTGGGATCCTTTTCATTAACTGGTTACAGGGTGAGCTCTTGTCAAGACAAGCAATTCTGTAAGCTGACGTTGTTCCTCTTCTACCAGGGGAACTTCTGATTAGAAACTCTGACAAAACAAAGCAAAAAGGCARTTATCTTGGTGTTGGAGACTCCTTGGATTTGCAGCATGAACAAAYCTCTCATATCACTTCCTTGTAAAATATGCATTGAAATTTGCATCCTTGTATTACTTCATTATAAAATTATGCAGCCGCACCTCTCCACATGGGAGATGTGCAGATCACTGTCTAAAAGGAGAAATTCTTCCTGCTGGGTTTCATGTGCTCTCCTATCTTCCTGAGTCAGCTGTGGGAATGAGCTTATAACATGAGAATTCTATTGAAGTGTCTTAATTACTGCATGATCTGGTTTTGACCTCRCAATATAGAGGTACCTGCTGAAGTGTGACTCACTGTGCCTCCAGCTTAGTGGAATTGAAACAGCTTCTTCTGGGGGAAGAAAACGGGAAGCTTATGATYCCACTCAATTCTGGTTTTCCTATTTGGAATGTGTTTGGATAGGAGAGTTATCATATTTCCTGTGAGGTTTCCTGCCCTGGTGTACCCCCTGGATTGAAGAGGGGGCAGATCCCTGTTGTTTCTTCCCAGTTTCTGTTTATRTGACTTCCTTTCCTGACCTCCATGACTGTTCATGTGGGACCAACATTGTAACAAGGGGATGTGCAGCTGTCATTGTGTTCCTGGCTTTTCTGCATCCCCTTGTGGGATGTGCTGTGGAGTTAGGCATAGCAAGAGGCAGTGTCTGGGCAGATGTTGGTGGCTCTCTTCGTGGGAAGAAGGTTTTAGGATTATGAAGAAACTGGGAGAGGCAACAGCAGACAACTGCAACAGGGTGTGACAGGATGGGAGCAGTTGTAGGTAGTTCTGGCAGTGTGTGGTTAAGAGGGGAGTGAGAGAGAAAAGATTGAAGATTTCTTTTGGTCCTTGTCTTTCAGTTGCTTTGTTTTTCTGTTTTTAAGCACAAATTCGCTGTTCAGAGTGAACCCAAGCTCAAAAGTTAGCTTTTACATGACAGTTTGAAAAGCAGTGTTTAACCTGAGTAACTGCATGGTGGTGAGATCATCAGGCTACCCAAAATACAGACTGTGGGGTGTGGGAGGGAGATTTCCCAGATAACTGCGATGCTTCTGGTGTAAAATGAAAGCATTGTTTGTTTGCTAGAAACTCTGGGGCAGCTCTGAGGATCTCAGATCTGAAGAAAGCACCCAGTCTCCGACAGCATCACAGGCGGGTTCTGAAACAGAACGCTAAGTATGGCACCAGAATCTCGCTCCTGTGTGCCTGTGCTGTGTTCTGAAGAGCCAAGTCATCTATTCCACACTGAAAAAGTGCGTTGTTATGCCTGCTACACAACAAAGATCAAACAAGAAATCATGTCAGCTGCATTTCAGAGATCTGAAAACKGAAAGGCACATGTTCTTAAAGCACTTTCCCACGAAGTGTGAGTTTTTGTGAGAAACAATGCTTTGTGGGTTCCTTAGGTGATGGAGCTGCAAGGGATCACAGAATATTCTGGGTTGGAAGGGAACCACAAGGCTCACTRAGTCCAGCTCTTAAGTGGATGGCAGCGCAGAAATTGGTTTGAAGTGGTCTGTCAGGGTTCAGCCCCAAGATCCACCAAGAACCTGACAGGTCTGGCAAGCTGACCTGGGGCAAAACTGTCCCCGACAGATATTAGCTGAAAAACCTATAGTGGAACTTCGGAATTATCTTGGGGCAGCCGTGCTTTTAGTGGCTGTCACCACTGAAGGTTTTTCCCTCTGACCCATGCCTCTTGCTGCAGGCCTGAAAGTTGTTATAGTCCTCCCAGAATATGGAAAGACAGAAGTGAAGGAGTAAGACATCACCTGCCATGTCCTCAAGAATGAGAATTGCACCTTGTGCTCTTAACCCAGTAGGGACTTTCAGTGTATTGAAAGTTGCCACTTTTGGAGTTTTTATTGCTTCTGCTTCCACTTGTATAGCTGTAGTAAAAAACCTCATGAACAGGGGGGAAAGTGCTCTAGAGCTTCATTGAGCTTGTTTCATGGCCTGAATTGGGATGAAGTTGTTTATCTCATTCCAGATGTGATCAATGTGATCTGCATCCCTGTTACTTTTCAGACAGTTCAGCTGCCACACCTGGCTGAAGTCTGACCACACCTTTCCAGGTGCATGCCAAGCAGGATTCCAGGGGTGTATTGTACCCTCCTCAACACTCCGAACAGCCAAACCCTCCCTCCCCAGACTGGTGACCAGGAAAGATGGTTTTTGTTGCTGTTTCACAGGCTGTGAGCCATATCTCCAGCCCTTGTCCTGTGGGTTAACTGCTGGGAGCTGTGCCCRGGAGCAGGGCTAGATGTGTGGCTGGGAGGGTGCTGGGCACCTTGCTTTGCTCCATCCAGGTGTGGTGCCCAGGTTAACCCTGGAGGAATCATCTCTGAGGAGGGTCCTTCAGAAAGAGGATCAGCTTCGGCTTTGCCTCACTGGGGCTGTGTTGGTTGTCATCAAAAATATTGTTTCCATTTGAATTTCTGAAACCAGTTTCCTAGTTTGCTTGTGTCATTAATTAAAAGCTCCCACAATCAGATGTCTGCTTCTGTGCAATGACAGTCACTCCTGAAATGCCACTGTGGTAAGAACAATGAACAGGAGCTTGGGCTGCTTTCATCTCACAGGAAGGGCTGCTGGCCTTTCCATGAAGCACCCTGTAATCTCTTGGAATCCTTTGAAAACTTTTAAATTCTGTTTTRGAGTGTGTCAGCAGGGCTCCTGCCCAAGTCCTAGCAGATGTGCATATTCCCCTTCTCCTTCCCTGCTCTTCTCTGTGCATGCACAGCTGGCCAGCTCTACATCCCAGGAGGGGATTTGGCTCTGGCTGAGCAGCCTTCCCTGTGCTTCTATTTATATCTCACAGAGGTGCTCCAGACAGATTTGGCAGAGCCAGCAGCAGGTGCCTGTCTGTGCAGTGTAGCCTTTCTGTGAACTGTGATTTTTAGGTATTTATAATTTGTTAATGTATTGTCAATGGGAGCAGCTATTCTGGTTTTCCCTAGAGCAACACAAATATTTCAGACTTTTTTTCCACTGAACTTTTACTTTCTCAGTAAAAATGCTGTTTTCCGACCACAAAGAAAGCCCAAGGCAGCTCAGCCTCTGCTTTATTTTTGCCTCTGCCTCCAACCTCTCCAAAATACTCACCAGAAGTTTGTTCCAAGTTGTCAAATGTCAAACTATAATAGAATATTGAATAACTCCCTAAATCATGGCTTCAGAGTAATTCTTATCCCCTCTCTGTGTTCTTTAAAGACAGGAAAAGAGGGAACAAGAGCCTGGCTCTGCTGTGCCCTGGGAGTGCCTGATGCAGGTGCAGCCCTGCTGTTCTTCTGACAGGTCACTAAAGGATTGGTGCTGCAGGGTCATTCTCCTTTTTCATGTGTTGGAGATTCATCTCTGGCAATTCCTCCTGCTCAGCAAAATGCCTCAGTTGGACTCCATGGTTTTCCTGAARCTTGTGAGCAGAGGATGTGTGAGAGAGCTGGGCTGGACCTCCATCGCAGGCAGTAGATGCCAGAGTGTGTGGTGCCCTTATTCTGCCAGAACATCCATCAGGAGAGGAGGGAGGCAAGACAGACACATAGCAGAGCCTTGGTTTCCCTTCAGGTGTTGCACAGAGCCCTGGGGAGCCATCCTGRGGAGCAGCAGCAGCTGCAGTTCATAACTCTTCTTGTTGGTGGTGCTAAAAAAATGGGGGAAAAGCCCTTGGGGCAGAAAAATCAGGTATTTACTGAGCTGCCCCAAACCAGTGTGATCACACTGATGCAGCAAGTCCTAAATCCTGTCAGCAGAGAGCCAGACCATCTGTCCTTGCCCCTGGGGCAGCAGGGTCCTGTGCAGCACATCCCAGTGGGGTAAGACTTCCCATTTTTTTAAATCTAGAAATGTTGAGGGCAGCTTTTGATGAGCCAGCTGGGTGCAGGGAGCAGTATGGGGTTGTGCAGCAGCTCCTGTGGTTTTCTGACCTGTGACCTCCCCTGCAMAGGATGTGGGAATGGCTGGGAAGCCAATCTCCATTGCCAAAACTGCACCCCCACACCCCCATTGCCAAAACAGTTCTGCAATTTCCTGGAGCTTCCCAGTAAAACACAGCATTCAGGGCATGATTTAGGGTGTTCTCTCAGAGGAGACCCCTTGAGCCATGGGTGCACTCTCTGCCAGAGGGATGTGGGGCCTGTCAGGGCAGCTGCTCCCTCTGACCTCATGGGTTTGTGGGCTCCAGCTCCCCTCACCCCACTCAGATAGTGACAGRTGATTTGCATCATTTGAGTCTTCAGGACACCCATGAGCAGAAAAAAACTAGAGAGGAAAAGACAAAGACCCAGTAGCACACACAGACACGTTGAAAATCCACCTGAGCACAGCCCAGCCATGGCTGGTCACCAGCTGTGGGTGACAGCCATCCTGCTCRTGCCAGGAGGTGCCACACTGAAGGTGCTGCGTTTTGCAGGCTGTAGCTCAGCCTGGCTGTTCCCTGCTGCATGGGATGTTACAGCTCATCCCACTCTCCTATTTCCAGCTCCCAAAGACCTGGTGTGCAAGAAGTGGATGTATTTGCAGCTGTGGCATTGTAGAGAGCAAATCCATGCTCTGGATCCATCTAAACAGGCCTCCTCCACATCAGAGCTCAAGGGAGGAGCTCACCCTGCACACTGCTGAGCCCATTAAAATGAAACTTAGTCATCCACAGCCAAAAAATAAAGGAATGAAGCAAACAAAGTCTAAAGAGCATCGTTAATAGAGAGCAGCCACGGCTATTTGGAAATCACAATTTGAAATACTGAGTCCCTCAAGATTTGAACCAACTCTGCTATTTCTTTTTCTTAGTCATTAACTGGTGACTATAGTTAGATATGATTAAGCAATTGCACTGTAAACCTTTAGGCTTGGCTAATCKTTTTTTGTTTTAAGGAAAAGRGAAGACAATCCCAAGAGGAATGGGCTGTCTGGACGAGACACACCAGGAATGATGTCAGTAGGACTGAGCAGTAACTTAAAGGTAATTCCAGTGTGGGAGCTTTTGACCACCAACCTCTGCCCCATCCTGCAGAAGTGACACGAAGGTGTGAGCAGAGAAAGGAGCAGCCTCCCCAGTGCCTAAAGAGACTCAAGTGGGACCATGTCCCCTGTGTGCCACACTGGTGCTGTCTCTGCTGGCCACGGTGGGGACAGGGAGGGAGCAGGGATGTGCCTGCAGCCTGGATGCAGTGATCAGTCCACCAGAGAGTGGGCTGGACACACCTGTGCCCCTGCAGGAAAGGGGAGCTCTGGGCACCCCAACAGCAGCACCTCATGTGGGACATCAAAGCAGCCGAGGAAGGCACACGATGCAAATGAGCTGCACCT